AAAAGTTGATAAAAGTTATGAATTCCAAGAGATGTATGGTTGAAATAAATTGTTGATTTTAGCTTTATTTTTTATTATTTTTTTAACTAAATCAAATAGGGGCTTAATCAATTCACTAGACTAAGAGTCTAAGACTAAAGTAGGAATCTTTTTCTTTTAATTTCTCAAGCTATTAAATTGATTAAGTTTATAACTAAATTATAGACTCGTAAGTATGATTTTACACTTACTTGAACAGTTGAACCACTAAAAGTGATCATTTTGGGAGTGCTTGAATTTAGATACTTAGTTTGAGGATTAATTTAGGAGAAAACCCAGCTTGGGCGCGAACGGATGAAAATAGTGATTTTAATCAATTGGGTTGAGGGTCACATAAAATTTGAAAATCGAGTATTATGGTGTAGAACTTGTAAGTGAGAGGACCAGTTATCCAATTAATGAGGACTTGAAATGAATTAACAATTGAAGAGGAGTACTAATTTTCAAGCAAATGAAAGTCATCGCAAGGGCCAAATTGGGGTGTGGTCGTATAGTTTATGCAGGGGCAAGTTCCAGATTAATTTGGTTTCTTACTTCTATTCAATTTCTACATATGATATTTGAGACTCGTTTGAGCTATTTTAAACTCTTAAATAGTTTCTCTTTATTTTTTAATTTTGGAACACACAATTTTAGAGATAAAAATACGTTGCAATTCAAGATCTAAGAGCAAAATCAAGGGTTTTGAAGAATTGGGTGTGGACTATAAAATTCTTGGTCTAAGATCCTATTCTTTCCTTCATCTTTATTTCAAAATTCAATGATGAGTCATGTTCTTCATTGGGCCCAAGAACAAACGGTCTAACCTCATAAAAATAAAAAAAGTAAAGTGATGGGCTGACCGGCCAACCCAATTAAAAAAAAGTGCTAGGCTAACGGCCCAATCTTTTTTTTTTTTAAAGGGGGAAAGAACCAACCCCCGCCCTAGCAGCAAAAAGCCAGAAAGAAAGAAAACGGAGAAGATGAACAGCACCACTCGCCCGCCATCTTCTTCCCAAAAATTCGTCCAGCGGAGCCTAGCATGGGCGGCCGTCCCCCTTGGCCAGGTGCTGGGTATGACCAATCACTAAACAATTGTCAACTAATTTGAAATCTTCATCTTCAACTCAACATAATTGGAAAACTTGACTTCATGACCTCATTCTTTATTGTAATTGAATATCGTTAATATTTTCGTTATTAATAAAACAGGCTGCTTAGTGAAGCTGATTTATTCTAAAAAACTTAAATCAATTTGACTGACATTATCAATTTGACTTGACCACTTTTTATATTTGTCACCGCCTTTATTTTGATATCCAACACAACGGGAAGTTGCAAGTATTTTAATCAATTTGACTGACATCATCAACTGCATACCTCCAAGATAATATAAACTAAAAATAATTTCCTCTAGAAATAAATATGTGCAAGAAAAGGACCAAAAATCAACTCTATATTTTCCTCAATAGTCATTCATTTCATACAAGAAGATTACACAAGTCAATATTGCAAAAATTTCTACATTTTTCCACGCACAAATCAATAAGCCAGGGAGGCAGTGGTCGTGTGTGTGGATGAGGAGGTGGCCGGCGAATGAGAATGAACTTGGCCTTCGCTATGGCTGCCTTGATCATCGGAATTTGACTGATTATTTTGATGCCTTCGTTTAGGGGACGATGATGTTTCGTGGAAGGGTGGTGGTAGTGCAGGAATAGGCGCATATATTTCATTAGAAGTGGTGGCAACTACCGGTGCCTTCCCAGATGCCATCGCAGCATATTCCGGTGGTGGAACCCAAATTCCTCCCACCACCACAAACTGCGGCACTTGTGGGTTGTTGTTATTGTGAATTGAAGAATTAGGCCTCCTCGTGTGCAATCTATACTTCTGCAATTAAAATTAAATACAAAATATTTAGGCCATGCGTAACTTTAATCCACAAATACAACAGAAGAAGAATCAAGAATCTTGTCAAGAAAGCTTCTTTCTAATCAAGAGTCTTCATTCACAAGCACACATAAATCAAGAAGTGGTGGATTCCTGTCCACAATATTATAGTTATTCCCATTTCTACTCCATTAGTCTTTCCTTCAAATGAAAATTTCCTCCAAATTCCAAGTGATTCTCCATCATCAACAAACTAATGACTCCCTGTTTGGTGCACATTTTTCCCCCAAGAATGCTGCCTTTTTTTTTTTTTTTTTTTACGTAATGGGAAATACGTGGTTGAAAAAGACGGAAAAGTTATTGATAATTTGATACGATGAAAAATATTATTTTATTGAAGAATGTGTGTTTAAAAATAAGTAGAAAAATGAGAATGAAAAAATAATATGGCTCAAACAGGGACTCGACTGCATAAATACCTTTAGCTTTATCCATCAATTAAAGAATTTTCACGATTCAAAGAATTAATAGCGTCAACTTTACATCTACTATAAAAGATCCAAAGTCAGTAAATTCTTAGAAACTACGGCATGCCATATTAAAATTCCGAGTGATTAGCCAGCATTTACATACTTGACCAAGATTGAGATGCGCCACTACTTTTCATATTCCAAAGGAAAATTCTCAAGACAAACCTGTAAATGACTTTTAACTTCATCATTTGTGAGGCCATCAACCTTCATCAAATCCCTAATTTGTTTAGGTGTAGCAACTGCATAAATTACAACCAATAAGAACAATTAAAAGAAAATTAAGTAAAATGGAAGCAAAATTAAATATTAAAAAAAAATTCATAGTTCAGGTTATATTTCAGATTAATTAGGAGATTAATTACCATGTGAACCACCAAGTTGTTGAAGGGCTTGTATGAATCTTTTATGCAACTCGGGTGACCAACACCTCCTTGCCTTTCTTTGAGACTGTCCTTCCTTCTCTTCCTTTTTACTTCCACCGCTCCCACCGCCAATGCTACCACCAGTCTCCACCGAAGAACTGGCCGCAGCCACCTGCGCCGCCCTATTCATTGGGCCTTGTACAGTAGCAGTTGTAGCACCACTAGTGCCAGCAATTTTTTCTCTCTTAAATGGATGAAATGCACCACTACTTCCATCTCTCTTTACCTCCACAACTGAAACTTTTCTTGGTGAATCCTACACCAAATTAAAAATAAAAAATAAAAATTCAACCTTTATCAAAATTAACTAACCCCCAATTAAAAAGAAAAAAAAAATCAAAAATTTCAAAAATTTAATTTTAAAAAAAAAAAAATTTACCTCTTTGACGGGTGGATCTGGGGTTTGATTCCATAGTTGAACAGATCTAAGCCAATCTGATTTCTTGGAACTTTTTTCACTCCCATTAACACTAGTATAATTTTTTGGCTTCTTATATTGTTGTTGTTCATCATCGGAATTTCTCTTAATAGGAATAAATTCTTCGAAAACTGGCCCTTCAGTTGATGTCTGCTCAGAACATTCAGATTGCCCGCGCAAATTATACTCAGTTGATGGTCCAGATAACTGCTGCTTGCATGCCTCAATTGCTGCAAAAATAACAAAATCCCAAGTGCAAAATAACATTAAAAAACAACAGAAGTATGTCTTTTGAACATAGAACCAGTATAAAAATAGCTTACCTTGAGTGACAAGCTCAAGACAAAGAGGGAGTTCACGTTGGAATACTTGAATCTTGCAACGTTCTTCTTCTAACGCCTTTATATAATCTTGACATCTCTGCACTTTCTCAGAATAATCACTGTGATTATGGCTGTCTATCACCATTTTTGCGATTCTTTATTTACCTTGATCTCTTATACTTTTTCTAATACGATTGTTGATATGAGAAATGGGATTGAGATAACTTTTTAGAAGCTGTCGGGACCAAAAAGATGGAAGGTTTTTGTCACGGCATAGAGGGATCCGAATGAAAAAATGAGAATAAAGGGATCTTGGTGGAATCGAATAAACTTGGTTTACAAGAAAATAATCATATACAATTACTGTATATATCTATATCTATCTATATGTACGCATCATAGTTGAGACAGAGAGATATGAATGTATTTACCATTTTTTATTTATTTTGGGGGAGAAAATGGGGTGCGTAGAGGGTCGATTTCGTGGCGTCGCGTACAAACAAATCTTTGATCATGAGGTTTTTAGGGGTGGAAGAGGTAGGGTGTTTTCCTCTGTGTCTCTGTGTGTGAGAGAGAGAGGTGGGGGAGGAGGGGTTTGAACATTCGAGAAGTTCTTGTATGTGGGCTGGCATTGACGTAACGCATTATGTTTGTAGATAAGATCAAGGACCTACGCCTTCTCTCTCCAAAAAAAAAAAAGGGATATCTCAGTTTGGTCCTCGATGTTTTTCATTTTGGAAATTATGCCCTGTAGTTTTTGATTCATAAAAATACGTCATTGTTATTCTCACTTCAAACGTTTTTATAACAATTTTTTATTCTCATGTTTTTCCTTGAGAGTATGAGTCCATTGAGATTTAAAAGAATTGAATTCTTTGGTGCAGGAGAAGTATCTTTTTAACTATTGCAACCTTCTCGCCTATCATTCTTTTACGTTCTCGTGTATTTCATTGCAATTTAAAATGATCAAGTACTTTATTATAGATAATTACTATTTATTCTCACTGTGACATCATGCAAAATTGTTGTACAAGAAAAATACTTCCTTGGCATAAGTACCAAGGATAAAAATTTGCATCCCATTTGGGCTAACCATATCATGCTTATGTGTTTGCGAGCGAGACATTGACAACAAACCTGTATTAGAATGGACTGCAAGCTTTATATGCCTTTTTGCCCTAAGTCCACTCTGTTACTGCGATTTTTTCTTGTACTAAAATATGGTACATACAAAACTCAAATCCATCCAAACGAGTAATCGAAGTAATTTGTTCGCCATGATTGGTTAGCAATTGGCCATCAAAGGAAAGCAAATCAATTATCATTCACCTATTCCGTAATTGGAATTGAACTTAGTGTCTAAATTTGACAAGCTTGAATTAAGGTAAAATTCAATAATAGATTAAGAGTCATGCCAAAAACAATGTTATAAGGACGGGCAAATAAAACGTAAATCTAAGCAATCTTTAATATTCATACAACAAATTATCTCATTTATTTATCCATTCTACTCTATACTTTGTTTGAAAAAACCTAATGGTCAACACCAAAAATATGTCTATTCTTCGAACAAAAAAAGTCGAACGAAAATGTTCTATTTGTTATCAAAAAGTTGATTTGATGTTATTACTTCCTTTAGACTAACGAATATTCATATATCTTTCATAATAGAAAAAATTATTTTAGATATCAAAATTGAACAACTAAATATTGAATTATCGTTTCAATGAAATGAATACGTAAAGAGGACTAAGGAGAGATAAGGATGAAATTGAACACCATGAAAATTTGTTAGGGACAAAATTGGAATATTATACATTGTTACACATTTTTCTCTCTCTCTCTAGACTCTAGACCAGACTTGTCTCTCTTTCTAATTTTTGTTTTTGTTTTTGTTTTTGTTTTTTTTTCTTTTGGGATGGAATATACTGGTAGCGGATTTGACGAATCACGAGAAAAATTAAGATGGAAAAGAATCTTCGGCCAGAGCGTGTGAATACGCACCGTCACAGATTTTTGAAAAATGACAATTGCTTTTTGAGCTCTCCAAGGGCTAGCCGTAATGATGAATCTTATTACACTCGCATAATTTGACGTCCAGTGCACGCACCAATCATTACTCCACATAGAGGTCCCTCGTATATCGCATGGTTCAAGATTCGAATATTCTCTTCCAGGCTATTTATTATACAATAATGCTACCTAATACCATGACATCATGTGATATTTACGCGATTTATTTAATTAAACATGTAATTTAATAAATGATGACGCCTATATTGATGTTAAACGTGCTAAATAATATTATTCTTTATTATAAGTTTTTGTTCGTCTTGTCGAAGAATGAGGACGAGGATGAAAAACATGGTCCTCGAGCGAATCCATTCTTAAATTCTCATTATTAGTTTAAAAATTTAAATGTTACGAAAAAATAATAATAATAATAATAAAAGATGTTATGATATAGAGGATTTATAATAACTGTCTTGCCTCGTGTACGTCTTTTCCCCCAACAAAATATTATTTACGTACCGCATTTTCAATAATTAAATTTCTTAGAATGATAAAATGTACGCGTGAAGAAAACTTTGCTTACTACGGAATATGTGAGAGAAATTTTAGTTGGACGACTCTATATGTACACGTAGTAAAATCGTTCGTTCAAATCATGACATTTCGGATATCGACTCTATCAAATCATGATATTTTGGCGTTGCATACCAACTTTGTTACCCTCTATTGCCATCTTGAACTTTATCCTAAATTGATTAATTTCTTTTAAATGATACATTAATTTCTTTTAAATGATACATTGTAAAATAAAATAAAGATTAATTTTAAACATAAACATGACAAGAATTAAATTTCCCAGTACATATTTTTATATCAATCACAAATCACGTTTTTATGTCAATACAATTTAAAATGATATCGTTTTATTTTAATGAGTCTATTTCCCATCCTAAATATTTTATATTCGTAACTTGTAAGTTACGTCAAAAATGAGATTCAGACGTTCCTTATTTACGTATAGAATGACGTGGAGAAGATCTTGCCTATGCCACGAATTCAATTTAGATTGATCAATAATTAAGTTAAAATTTAATTAATGTGTATTTAGCAGTCGTGATATAAGATATAGAATATCGATGCATTGAATCGTACTAAAAAAAATTATAATCATATTCAATATTGTATGCCATTTATAATGTGAATATTTAGGAGTGCGTGGTCGCGTTCAGTTTACGGTCTAATTCGATTCGAAATTGAACTGATGAAAATTTTAGAAGTGAAACCATTGCTTCATATCTAACAGTAAAATCGAACTGGAATCGAACCAACCGATTCTTTATATGGAAAATTTATAAAACAAATTGTGAAACTATTTATCGATTAAAAATAGATAAAAATAGAGTTGAACAGCTTATCATTCTTCTAAACTAAAATTATAACAATTAAATAAGGCTCAAGATCAATTAATATAGGCATTAAAAATGATAAACTATTAAACACGGTATAAACTTTAAAATCTGAATAAAAAATGAATCCTTATGAAAATTAATACAACAATATATATTTAAAAATGCATGTAGTATTTATAATCTGATTATCTTCAATAATCTTATTATGATGATCAACCCTTAGAAAACAACAAGAAATTTGAGATTCTATGAAATATTTAGTCAACATTTTTTCTATTGGGTTGCAATAAAACTATAAAAAATTGTAAAGTATTTATAAAATTATTTAAATTTAAATGTTTATTATCCATCAGATTTTGCTGTAAAAAAAAAGAAGAAATAGCGTATGAGAATTGAAATTTGGTGTGAGATAATTTTAGGATATAGTATTCAAATATGTGATGCATATTTGTGGGATGCACCATCAATAAGAGAAATTAAGAAGAACTGAATTTACTATTGGTTATTTTGACAGTACCAAGAATTGAATCAGAAATGATCAATTCTTGATACAGTCTCAAAGTCCATTTCATAAAGGAATTAGAGCCGAATCACCCTATTCTATCATGTTTCGATCTGATTTCATCGATTTTTGGGAAAAAATAATGTCCACCCCTATAAATATTTCTCTATTATAGGAACAATGTATACACACGGAATTTGGACTTTTGTAGAAAAATAAAATTTTTATTTAAGTGAATTTTGGCATAAAGTTCAGGTAAATTACGTAGGAATGACAACAGAACGAGCGAGGTCAAGAGTTGGGACAGTCATTCCGGCCATTTGCCCATCGGGTATTTTTATCTCATTCTCCCACTCCCGTACTTAGCTGAAGCCCTCCTGCATTGTGTGTCGGATTAGGTGGCAAATCTTCGACCAGTTTGGGGCTATCGCATAGATATTGGGTTTATCGAAATTTTTTTGTTATCCCTATTACACGTGTCATTTCGAGATGGAATTAAGGCATACTTCTTCACAAATAGATATTTATATTTTCAAATTCATAAATATCTATTTAGCATTTGGATTTAGACATCGTATCACGTTGAGACACGGTAGAACAGTAGAAGACAAAACAACAAAACAGATTAATTTCCAATGATTTTTATCTAAGCCGCCATAATGCTGTCTTTTTCTCCTAAAAAATTCATAAAAACTATATATATCTGGCTGAATCACTTAATCTAACGCATTTTTTTATTCAACTTTTTTTTAGTGACAGTCCACGTCATATTGCATTAGAGATGATTTTTCAAAAATAAAACAATTTTTTTTTATTTAGCCTATGTTTGGTAGAAATTAAAATCCAGACTTTAATCTAATTTAAAGACAACACTAATTTTAACCTTACATTTTATCTGGAAGAGATCCTGATCAGATGGGGTGCGAGTGATGCACTTTTATCACTTCTATTAGGTGGAGACCCATTGTCCACGAAGGTTGAGAGAAGTGATGTGGTGATAGAGGATTATCCCGAGAACTTAGGATCTATAGAGACTTACCAATTAGACATGAGTTGAGTGATTAGCCTAGTGAGCATTGTGGGCGATGAGGTGAGATATGTGTTCTCGATGAGT